ACACGGAGACGGGAGCGACGATCGGAGGGAGTTCAACATGCATGGGCGCCCCGACATCCGGGTTCGACTGGGACTCCTCCCCTCACTCCAGAGCCGCAACCAGGGGGTGATGAGCCCATGCAGGTGGGTCGCACCAGCCTCACCTTGGAGGAACGTGAACATCGCAGACGAGGTAACCTATGTCTCTACTGCGGCCGGGCCGGCCATTTTGTTTCTCGCTGCCCGGTAAAAGGCAAGGCTCAGCAGTAATGGGGAACATACTGGTGAGCCAAACCCCTGGATTTGTTCCCGCTCAGAGACCATTGAGCCACGCCAGGTTGCTATTACCGGATAGCTCTCAGGCTCTTGCAGTTTTTATTGACTCTGGTTCGGATGCGAGTATTATGGACGAAGAGCTTATGCTGCAGTTGGGAATAGACCGGGTTCCCTTATCTCGCCCAGTTCCAGCCAGCGCCTTAGACGGTCACCTGCTGGGGACAGTGACTCATCAGACTGTACCTGTTCACATGCTCCTGTCCGGGAACCATCACGAAACTATTCAGTTTCATGTTCTCCGGTCTCCACATATCCCGCTTATCCTGGGTTACCCATGGCTCCGCCGCCACAACCCTAACATTGACTGGGAGACGGGAGCCATTTTGGGGTGGAGCCCCTCTTGTCATCAGATCTGTCTGAAACAGGCGGCCGCGCCTCAGCGTTCGGTGAACCCCAGCCAAGTTCCGGATGTTACAGGGGTTCCACCGGAATATCTGGACTTTAAGGAAGTGTTCAGCAAGACGAGGGCTACTTCCCTACCACCACACCGGCCTTACGACTGTGCCATCGACCTACATCCCGGTACCAGCCCTCCCAGGGGTCGATTGTACTCCCTGTCTGCTCCGGAAAGAGTTTCCATGGAGACGTACATCAATAACTCTCTGGCGGCTGGGATTATTCGCCCTTCCTCATCACCCGCTGGAGCGGGGTTCTTCTTTGTGGAGAAGAAGGACAAGACCCTAAGGCCCTGTATCGACTTTCGGGGTCTTAATGACATTACTGTAAAAAATCGATACCCACTGCCTCTTATCTCCTCTGCATTCGAGTTGCTGCAGGGAGCAACCATATTCACCAAGCTGGACTTGCGTAACGCGTACCACTTGGTACGTATTCGCGAGGGGGATGAGTGGAAGACCGCCTTCAACACTGCCTCGGGGCACTACGAGTATCTGGTGATGCCTTTTGGACTTACCAACGCCCCTGCAGTATTCCAGGCGTTGGTAAATGACGTGCTCCGTGACATGTTGGACCGACACGTATTTATTTACTTGGATGACATCCTGATATTTTCCAAGACTCTGAAGGAACACGTGCACCACGTCCAGGCGGTTCTCAAGAGGTTGCTGGAGAACTCACTGTTTGTTAAAACGGAGAAGTGTGAGTTTCACACATCCTCTGTCTCTTTTCTGGGATACATCGTGGGACAGGGGAGCATTGAGATGGATCCCTCCAAGGTCGATGCAGTCACTTCCTGGCCGGTTCCAGACTCCCGGAAGCGGCTACAACAGTTCCTCGGGTTCGCCAACTTCTACCGGAGGTTCATTCGTGGATACAGCACCTTGGCCGTTCCACTCACAGCCCTGACCTCCTCTAAGGTTATGTTCCAGTGGTCCTCCTCGGCTGAGGAGGCGTTCCAGAACCTTAAGGCCAGGTTTACCTCCGCCCCCATCCTCCGAGTACCCGATCCTGAAAGACAATTTGTTTTGGAGGTGGATGCTTCTGATATGGGGGTGGGGGCCATCCTGTCTCAGCGAGCAACAGACAGCCAAAAACTCCATCCCTGTGCTTTCTTTTCGAGGCGTTTGACACCAGCGGAAAGAAACTATGATGTTGGAAACCGGGAGCTGCTAGCAGTGAAGTTGGCTCTGGAGGAGTGGCGCCACTGGCTCGAGGGGACCAGTCAACCTTTCCTGGTGTGGACCGACCACAAGAATTTGGAATACATCCGGTCGGCCCGCAGACTGAATTCCCGACAGGCTAGATGGGCCCTATTTTTCACTCGGTTCAATTTCTCCCTCTCCTACCGCCCTGGTTCTCGGAACATTAAGGCTGACGCTCTGTCTCGTCAGTTTGGGGAGGGAGGTAACATTCCCAGAGGCTCAGACACCATCCTTCCGACTCCTCAGCTCGTCGCCGCCCTTACCTGGGAAGTGGAGGAGAGGGTCAAGGCCGCCCTGGATGACCAGCCGGGACCCAGTGCCTGTCCTCCGAACCGCCTGTTCGTTCCGCAGATGTTGAGGTCTGATGTTATCCAGTGGGCCCACAACTCCAGACTCACCTGCCATCCTGGTATCCAACGTACCCGGGAGGTAGTCCAGCAAAGGTTCTGGTGGGCAACACTTAAGGAGGACACCAGGGAATTTGTTAATGCCTGCCCTGTGTGCAATCAACACAAGTCTTCTCACCAAGCTCCTGCTGGTCTCCTACAACCTCTGCCTATCCCTCATCGCCCCTGGTCCCACATTTCTCTGGACTTTGTTACTGGTCTGCCACCGTCCAACGGGCACACTGCCATTTTGACGGTGGTAGACCGGTTCAGTAAGATGGCTCATTTTGTGCCGATACCCAAGCTCCCCTCAGCTAAAGAGACGGCGGAGCTGGTCCTGCTCCATGTGTTCCGGCTCCATGGGCTACCTACCGATGTGGTTTCCGATCGTGGTCCCCAATTTACCTCGGTGTTCTGGAGGGAATTCTGCACGCTCATTGGGGCCACGGTCAGTCTGTCTTCCGGTTTCCATCCTCAGTCCAACGGTCAGACCGAAAGGAAGAACCAGGAGATGGAGACGGCTTTACGTTGTATAGTCTCCAAGCACCCAGCGGCCTGGGCTAAACAACTGCTCTGGGTCGAGTACGCCCACAACACTTTGATCAGTTCGGCCACCAAGCTGTCCCCATTTCAGTGTGCATACGGGTTCCAACCCCCTCTGTTTCCGGCCCTGGAGAGGGAGGTTACCTGTCCGTCCGTTCAGGCTTTCATTCGTCGCTGTCGCCAGACCTGGAATCAAGCCCGGATAACTCTTGTTCGTTCGGCCAACCGGTACGCCTCCTCTGCCAACCGCCGACGTTCCAAGGCACCCGTCTACCAGGTGGGCCAAAAGGTATGGCTGTCCACCCAGGATATTCCTTTACGGGTGGAGTCGAAAAAGCTTGCACCGAGGTTCATTGGACCATTTGAGATTATAAGGATAATCAATCCCGCAGCAGTAAGGCTAAGACTGCCTCGGACTCTGCGGGTCCATCCCACCTTTCATGTTTCCAGGATCAAACCTGTCCGAGAGAGTGCACTGGTTCCTGCGGTCCCTCCTCCACCACCCCCCCGGATGATTGACGGCGGACCTACGTACACTTTCCATCGACTGCTTCGTTCCCGTCGCAGAGGGAGAGGAGTCCAGTACCTGGTAGACTGGGAGGGTTACGGCCCTGAGGAGAGGTCTTGGGTTCCAGCTCGTCATGTGTTGGACCCCCGGCTCATCAGAGAGTTCCATCAGCGCAATCCCGAGCAACCTTCTAAGGCCATCACATCGACGGGCAGAGACACTAGGAGAGTCTCTCCACATACTGTCAGCTCTTCCGAGGAGGACAGTGAGGGGCCTGCTTCTGATGAGGACGCCGATTCCCACAGGGGGCAGGAGAAGGAGGCCGAAAGAACTTTTTCAGATGAGTACTAACCCCACCTCCCACCCTCCTCTGTAGATTAGTGTTTAGGGACGTCAGGAGCCGTCCATTAAGGGGGGGGGTTCTGTCACAGTTCTGCTCCATCATTCACCAGTAGTTTTCCATTCACCTGTCTCACCTGTTAACCACACCCACGTTTTTGCTCACTCTCTTTCTCTTCTGCACCCATTAGCTTTACTGCCAGTATTTAAACCCTCACCGACACACACCCATTGCCAGATCGTACTTTGTCTTCATGCTAGTCTTTCACGCGTTTGTCACCAGATTGCCCACCCGGTTCCGACCCTGCCTGTCCCTGACCTGCCTGCTCTGCCTGTTCCCTGATCCTGCCTGTCCCTGGACTATCCTGCCTTGCCTGCTGTCTGACCCTGCCTGTACCTACGTTGACCGCCTCGCCTGCTCCCTGACCCTCTGCCCGGCCCTGACTCACCTTCTGTCCGCTGTCCTCTGGTTCGTCGGCCTGCACATCATCCGGCTGATACTGTTCTGCTGGTATTCCTCTGCTCTGGTAGTATTACCAATAAAGTACATTACCAATACTCCTTGGTTTTCTCGAGTGCTGCATTTGGGTCCTTCATAAGATCGTGACACATTTAACTAACTGCCAGTAGAATATAAGGTACATCTCAAGTGTTGATTTATAGATTGTACAAAAAGTGTCTGTTGACTGTCAACATGTTTTTTGCAACAGGTTATTAACCGATATTCAACCTTACTATCTGTAGATTGTGTCAACATCTTCAACATTGACAATCAACTACTCAAAATCAATCTGTCAGTTGAAAGTCAACAGGGTCATGTCGACTATCATCATGTTGATCATCTGTTGAGAGTCAAGAATCAAGATGTCAACTAAACTCTAAAGTTGCTTATCTGTTGATCATCAACTAATGCTTAATGTAATAGTCAACTGAACTTTAGTTGCTTATCTGTTGATCGTCAACTAATGCTTAGTTACTTGTCGGTTTGAACGGTGCTGTTGAATGTCAACTGATACATGTCAACTGATGCACTGTTGACATGCTACTAAATGTCAACTGATGACTTATAGAGTGTTAACTATGGACTATCAAAATAAAGTGTTACCAAAAACTTTGAGTACCCCTGTTGTAGATGTTGTCTCTCAACTTTAACTTTATACTGGCTACCCTGGAACCCCAGAAATAATAATAATAGGTTTATTTATTATAGCACCTTTCACAGTGTAGCAGGATGAGAGTCCTAATCCCTTAGAAAGCATATTCTCCTCTTTTGGCTCTTGTGAGCATGTCACCACCAGGGGGCACCCTATAAAAGGGCAGAGGTTTCTAGCTGGCTGTCTCTTGTTTGTTGGTACACAGACCCGCCCCACTTGCGTGTTTGCCGTGTTTGCTTCCGCCACCGGTGCAGGTATGTTGCAGTTGCATTGCTCGCTTCAGGAAAGGTTCTGCAATTTGCCAGCGTATTGATACTTAGCCCTGCTTTGCCTCACCTAGTGGTGGATCCTCCGGGTGCAGCCTGTCAACGCAGCCATAGAAAGCATGAAGCTCTCTCCTCTCTGCGTCATCGATAGGAAAGCCTGATCGGTATGTGCGCTGTACGGCGATCTATTTAGTCAATCCACCTCATTACTTTTATTGATATTAACGCTGTCTTTGTATTTATTCATAAACCTAGGGCCAATCCAATGATTAAGGGACATCAGCTGTTTTGCTTCACCGGATAAAGTGTATTTATCGGCACAACTGCTGTTGATCCTGCCTAAATGTTTGGGCTGCTGCTACTGTGTTGTTGCTTCTGATTGCTGCTTCTGGCCAGCTTTGCATCGCCTACTGCGGAGGCTCGCTCACCAGTTAAAGTGCTGCTTTAACTGCACGCCTTCCTGCTGCCTTGCTTGGGCCGACACTCGAAGTGTGGAAGTAATTGAACTCTGGGGCTAACTCCCCCCTATAACTTGTCCTTACTTTGGCCAACTTGATTTAAATTAGTTTGTTTATTTTATTCTAGTTAATTGTTTATTTTGTTTAACTGAACCTTTTATCTTGTGATTTGTTTTATTCTTAAATGTTTACACAAGTTATCTGTTTGAGAACATATTTGCTATTGTGTTTGTTTATTACTTTGATTTACTTATTTAGCCCCCATTAACTGCATTTCCCTCTTTGTTCCCCTACTTAGTTACTGAGAGCTGAAGGTGGTGGTGCTGGTGTCCAAGGTGGTGGTTTTCCTCTCTCCTTTTGTGTGTGATGTGCTCCCCCGGGATTTGATTTCCTGCACGTATGACTGGGGTGATTTAAGTTTGGTTTGTTTGGGGATCCTTCCACTCACTCGTCGACCCTATCCCCCCACTGGTAAGCCTCAGCCCCTAATTCATTTTTTCCCTTTGTGCTACAGCCCTGTGTGACTGTTTTAACCTGCATTTTAAACTATTGACTTGTGCTAAATAAAATTGTATATTTTTGATAAATTGAAACCACGTCTCCGGCTCCATTAGTATTCGAACCTATGTGTCCTCTGAAAAAGTGTTAACATTTCCTTGGGTGAAACTCCCAAGGTGGCGTTGTCGGAATTGTGAATGGTGTAATCAAACCAACTTGAACAAATACATTCACCTACCCTCCCCTCTGCGGCTAATGCCACAAACTGGCGTTGTCGGCAGGATTTACTTTTTGAGAGCAGAGACGTGTGTTTCAATTATTTATTATTATTATTATTAGTGTTGTATTGTGGCCATTGCTAGAAGCTAGTTTACCCTGTATTAAGTGTTTTATATTGTGTTCCGAAGCAAAACAGCAGTTGGTTTCTTGTGGACCTTTGGCAAGTCAGTGTTTATTATTGTGTATTGCCTGGCTATTTTGGTGCCCTATCTCCACTGAATTAGCAACGGTGTAGCTATGGAGGGAGAGTTACAAGAGTTGAGGGATTTAGTTGCGCAGTTAAAAACAGACAATGAGAGGCTGTTGCAGGAACGGGCTGTGGAGGTGCCTGGTCCTAGTGCTGCACCTTTAACTGCTACTGTTCCCCCTTCTAATCCTTCTAATGCTAGTGCCCCTTCAGTGGATAGACTGGTTTTTGTGCCCCGAGATAGGAAATGTCCTATGTTTAGGGGAAGATCAGGAATAGGGTTGAGTGAGTGGATTGAGGAAGTACAGGCTTGTATGAGAGCGCGCCGTTTGGCTGTATCCGATCAGGCATTTTTCTTGTTTGACCATCTTGAAGGAGAGGCCCGTGATGAGATAAAATACAGAGCAAGTGCAGAGCGGGAAGACCCTGTCAAAATAATTGCTGTGTTGACAGAGCTGTATGGTTGTTCTGATTCTTATGTAGCTTTACAAGAGGCTTTCTTCTCCCGACGGCAGCAAGAAGGGGAGACTTTGCAGGAATTCTCCCTTGCGTTGCTTAGTCTTATGTCATCTGTAAAGCAGCGGGCGCCTGATGACATGCAAAATGCAGAGGTTTTGCTACGCGACCAATTTGTAGAGCATGTCATTGATTGTGCATTGCGACGAGAGTTAAAACAGTTTGTGCGTCGACAACCTACTGCGGCATTACTTGATGCTAGGGCGGAAGCAATCAGGTGGGAACGTGAGGGTTTGCCTGGTGGCAATAGGGGCCGAAGTCACTCTGTCCCTTCAGTTCTTGGTCTACAGTATGGAGTTCAGGGTGGTCCTCAGGTGGTGACTGGCTCACAGGTGTCTGAACTGAGTGAGATGAGAGAGATGCTAAAACTCCAGCAAGAGCAGCTTAACACGCTTTTGTAGATGTTGCCAGCTATCCGGTCATTTTGCCAGTGAGTGCGATGGGGTACGTGTTGCTCCTCGTGCTCGGCCGTCCTCACCTGCTCAACAGTCTAGTGGGCAGCGCCGTTTCACTCAGCCATCGGAAAACTAGCACCCACCGAATTACAGAGCCACAGTTCGGGGGGTGGAGTCACAGGCTCAGGAGAAGCTTCTAAGCTTGTGTCTTCTTGTCCACATTTAGATGTAAGCATGGGTGGAGTTAAGGTTCCTTGTTTGGTAGATACTGGGTCCATGGTGTCTACAATCACAGAGAGCTTTTTTCATCAGCATTTTGAACCCTGGGGCCAGGAGAGGCTCCAATCTTGTCACTGGCTGCAGCTCAGAGCAGCCAATGGGTTGGCCATCCCTTACATTGGCTACTTGGAGCTAGAAGTTGAGCTTTGTGGAAAGGTAATGGCAAGCTGTGGTGTGTTGGTGGTGAAGGACCCCCCCGGTGGTGTCTCTTCTGCAGTCCCTGGTATTCTGGGGATGAATATAATTCGCAGATGTTACAAGGAGCTCTTTGGCCAGCATGGTTTGGCCTTGTTTTCTTTGCCTCCTGTATCGGAGGCCCCCGAATCATTCATTCAGGCTTTGCAAAAATGCCATCAGGCCAGTGTGCATGCCCCTACTGACATTTCAGGAGGGGTAAAAGTGCGTGGAAGGAAGGCTTGTCGTATCCCCGGTGGCATGATGAAGATTGTTGCAGCCACATGCTCAGAGCAGTACTCAAGTGGCACTGTGTTATTTGAGCCCTTGGATTCGGGTCTTCCGGCTGGATTGCTTGCCTCTCCAGCTCTGGTTCGGGTGGAAAGGGGCACCGCCTACATCCCTATTGTGAACGTAGGCTCCGCAGACGTGTTGCTGTATCCCCGCACACTGGTAGGCACACTCGATGAAGTTAGGCTAGTCAACTTGCCTGTTGGTGTCACCGAAGTACCATCCTGTGTGGCCAGAGTGGCATCCCAGGCTGCCTTTCCCTCTGTGCCTGACCAGCTGGATGCTCTAGACCTGTCTTCCTTGCCTGCTGAAGAACAGGTTAAGGTACGGTCTCTTTTGACGAAGCACACATCTGTCTTTTCTGCTCACGAGGGGGACTTGGGTTGCACCACCTTGATCTCTCATGACATCCCTCTTCTTGATGACGTCCCCGTGAAGCAACGCTATAGGCGCATTACCCCGTCTGAGTACGAGGTAGTGAAGGAGCACATCAACCAACTTCTTGAGTCACAGATCATAAGAGAGAGTTGCAGCCCCTACGCATCCCCCATCGTGCTAGTGAAAAAGAAGGATGGTAGCCTGCGCATGTGCGTAGACTACAGGCAGCTGAACAGCAAAACCAGGAAAGATGCTTTTCCTCTCCCTCGAATCGAAGAGTCCCTTGATGCGCTGACGGGTGCTCGCTGGTTTTCCACCATGGATTTAGCCAGTGGGTATAACCAGGTACCAGTTGCAGAAGCAGACCGGCCAAAAACGGCGTTTTGCACCCCGTTTGGCCTCTTTGAGTGGAATCGGATGCCCTTTGGACTCTGCAATGCTCCTGGCACTTTCCAAAGATTGATGCAGCGGATCTTCGGGGACCAACAATGCCAATCTTTGCTTTTATACCTTGATGACATCGTGGTATTCTCTTCCACCGTGGATCAACATCTTGAGAGGTTGGAGGTCGTGCTGAGAAGGCTACAGCATGAAGGCTTAAAGGCTAAGCTCTCAAAGTGTGCTTTCTTCCAGCGAGAGGTGCGTTACCTGGGCCATGTGATTTCTGACCAGGGTGTCTCTACTGATCCCAGCAAACAGGAGGTGGTAGCCAGTTGGCAGCCCCCCACTACCATCTTTGGACTGCGGTCGTTCCTTGGTTTTGCCAGTTACTACCGTAGGTTTGTGGAGGGCTTTGCCAAATTGGCTGCCCCTCTACATACGTTGGTGGCTGAGTTGGGAGGCACCAAGTCCAAAAGGAGATCAGAGCGTGAAATCGCTGGGAACTGGACTGAGGAGTGTCATAGGAGCTTTGAGGCTCTCAAGACAAAGCTCACCACGGCACCTGTGCTTGCCTATGCTGACTTCTCCCTCCCATTTATTCTGGAGGTCGACGCAAACTTTGGTGGCCTCGGAGCTGTGTTATCACAGGACCAAGGTGGTAAGGTCAGGCCCATAGCTTATGCCAGCAGAGGTCTGAGGCCCACTGAACGCAACTCTGCCAACTACAGCTCCATGAGGCTGGAGTTCTTGGGGCTCAAGTGGGCCATGACCGAGAAATTCAGGGAATATCTGCTTGGTCATAAATGTGTTGTTTTCACTGACAACAATCCACTTTGCCACCTGTCCACGGCAAAGCTTGGAGCCACTGAACAACGTTGGGCAGCCCAACTTGCGTCTTTTGACTTTGAGATTAAGTACCGCTCTGGTAGAAGTAATGGAAATGCTGATGCCCTGTCCCGTCAGCACCCACCAGGAGTGCAAGATCTTGAAGCTATGCTCCCTAGCACGTTGCTCCCCTTGCCTTTACGGCAAGCCTTGCCAGTAGCAAAGGCAACACAAACGGCTGTCATAGCCCTGCCTCATCATACACAGTCTGATATGGAGGCACTTCAGCAAGCGGACCCTCTCCTTCAGGAACTCTTGGTGTTCTGGAGAAGGAGGCAGCGTCCTAGCAATGATGAGAGGAAGCAGTTGTCCCGGCAAGCATTGGCACTGCTCCGCCAATGGGACCGGTTAGTTGAGAGGAGTGGGGTCCTCTATCGCCAGATCTTTCGCTCTGATGGGGCTGAAGCAGTTCTGCAGCTGCTTTTGCCAGCTGCTTTGAGAGAGCAGGTGCTCACCGAAGTCCACCAGAGGCATGGCCACCAAGGTATTGAAAGAACCTTGGAGCTACTTAGGCAGCGGTGTTACTGGCCAGGTATGTCCTCCGAGGTGGTACATTGGTGCAGCAGTTGTGAGAGGTGTCAAATTGCCAAGGACACTCGACCAGCGGCTCGTGCTCCCATGGGACACTTGCTGGCTTCTAGACCCAATGAAATTCTGGCGATTGACTTCACTGTCTTGGAACCCACCTATAGTAGGTTGGAAAATGTCCTTGTAATTACAGACATTTTTAGCAAGTACACTTTGGCTTTTGCCACCCGTGACCAACGAGCCTCTACTGTGGCTCAAGTTCTGGTCACAGAATGGTTTTCAAAGTTTGGTGTCCCAGCCCGTATACATTCGGACCAGGGTCGAAACTTTGAGAGCATTCTTATCCAACAACTGTGCAGCCTCTATAACATTGAAAAATCTCGCACTACTCCCTACCATCCGGCGGGCAATGGTCAATGTGAACGGTTCAACCGAACCCTTCACAACTTGCTGCGTACTCTGCCTGTGTCTCGGAAACGGGATTGGAACTCCTGCTTGCCACAACTACTGTATTCTTACAACACTACTCCCCATCAGTCAACTGGTGAATCTCCATTCTTGTTGATGTTTGGACAAGAGCCAAGGCTCCCAGTTGATTTTCTGTTGGGTAGAGTCCCTGATCCAGTCGGTGGTCCTGTCCATGAGTGGATTCAGGAGCATCAGGCAAAATTGCAAATTGCCTTTGAAGGAGCTCAAGAGAGGTTAAAAACTGCAGCAGAGCGCAGAAAGAGGTGCCATGACCAGTATGTCAAAGATGTCCCATTGAACGAGGGCCAGTTAGTTTGGTTGCGAGATTGTGGTGCAAGAGGGCGCCATAAGATCAGAGATATTTGGAGTTCTGTCAGGTATATAGTGGTGAAAGCACCAAAAGGCGGTTCGGTGTACACGATTGCACCGGCAAACGAGCTGACCAAAACCAAACGCGTCCACCGCACTCTGTTGAAAGCTGTGGTTGGAACACACTCTCCAGAAGATGTCCCTGTCCCCCTCTCAATTCCTCCTGACTCACCACAGTCAGATGGTGAGCTTTCCTCTGATGGTGACCTATGGGTTTCAAGAAATGAAGCTCCGAACCCTCGTTCTACCAGATCAGCTGTGGTGACCCAAGAAACCCCTTGGTTGCTGTTTCCACCATCTGACGAAGCCTCCATTGAGGCCGGCCCTTCGGTAGCTCTCGCGGCCATGCCAGAATTGCCTTCCTCCCGCTTGGCTATTCCTCCAGCCACTTGCCCTGATTCTAGCGCAGTGACATTGCGACGGACAGCACGGTCAACCCCTGGGCAGCATCCTAATGTCCATCATCTCCCGAGAGCGTTGGGAGAATTGGTGCCTGTGGCCGAAAACTCTCCTGGTCCCGTGTCTAACTCTGTGTCGGTTATCTTTAGACCTTGGAACTAGGTTGGCTAACATTGGCTTGGATTCGTTCATCGTCGGGCCGACGATACAAATAGGGGGGGTAGATTGTAGCAGGATGAGAGTCCTAATCCCTTAGAAAGCATATTCTCCTCTTTTGGCTCTTGTGAGCATGTCACCACCAAGGGGCACCCTATAAAAGGGCAGAGGTTTCTAGCTGGCTGTCTCTTGTTTGTTGGTACACAGACCCGCCCCACTTGCGTGTTTGCCGTGTTTGCTTCCGCCACCGGTGCAGGTATGTTGCAGTTGCATTGCTCGCTTCAGGAAAGGTTCTGCAATTTGCCAGCGTATTGATACTTAGCCCTGCTTTGCCTCACCTAGTGGTGGATCCTCCGGGTGCAGCCTGTCAACGCAGCCATAGAAAGCATGAAGCTCTCTCCTCTCTGCGTCATCGATAGGAAAGCCTGATCGGTATGTGCGCTGTACGGCGATCTATTTAGTCAATCCACCTCATTACTTTTATTGATATTAACGCTGTCTTTGTATTTATTCATAAACCTAGGGCCAATCCAATGATTAAGGGACATCTGCTGTTTTGCTTCACCGGATAAAGTGTATTTATCGGCACAACTGCTGTTGATCCTGCCTAAATGTTTGGGCTGCTGCTACTGTGTTGCTGCTACTGTGTTGCTGCTTCTGATTGCTGCTTCTGGCCAGCTTTGCATCGCCTACTGCGGAGGCTCGCTCACCAGTTAAAGTGCTGCTTTAACTGCACGCCTTCCTGCTGCCTTGCTTGGGCCGACACTCGAAGTGTGGAAGTAATTGAACTCTGGGGCTAACTCCCCCCTATAACTTGTCCTTACTTTGGCCAACTTGATTTAAATTAGTTTGTTTATTTTATTCTAGTTAATTGTTTATTTTGTTTAACTGAACCTTTTATCTTGTGATTTGTTTTATTCTTAAATGTTTACACAAGTTATCTGTTTATGAGAACATATTTGCTATTGTGTTTGTTTATTACTTTGATTTACTTATTTAGCCCCCATTAACTGCATTTCCCTCTTTGTTCCCCTACTTAGTTACTGAGAGCTGAAGGTGGTGGTGCTGGTGTCCAAGGTGGTGGTTTTCCTCTCTCCTTTTGTGTGTGATGTGCTCCCCCGGGATTTGATTTCCTGCACGTATGACTGGGGTGATTTAAGTTTGGTTTGTTTGGGGATCCTTCCACTCACTCGTCGACCCTATCCCCCCCACTGGTAAGCCTCAGCCCCTAATTCATTTTTTCCCTTTGTGCTACAGCCCTGTGTGACTGTTTTAACCTGCATTTTAAACTATTGACTTGTGCTAAATAAAATTGTATATTTTTGATAAATTGAAACCACGTCTCCGGCTCCATTAGTATTCGAACCTATGTGTCCTCTGAAAAAGTGTTAACATTTCCTTGGGTGAAACTCCCAAGGTGGCGTTGTCGGAATTGTGAATGGTGTAATCAAACCAACTTGAACAAATACATTCACCTACCCTCCCCTCTGCGGCTACTGCCACAAACAGAAATAGAATTTCACAAAGAGCATCACAATTTAAGAACAAAAGTTAAAATTAAGACCACAGAGACATGAATACAATAATAAATGTTGGCCTTTAACCCAGGAGGGTAATCATGTGACAAATTTCACCCGAAATAATGTTTCAGGAACAGTTGTTAGCTACTGATCAGGAGGCTAACAGCTAAACACACTAAACGTCTAGCAAACAAAGTGTCACTTAAAACTAAAGTACCAAAAAGCTAGTGTGCAATCAATTACTTGATTTTTTTGTTTAAGTGAATATATGACATTGGGCTGCGCTGTTTTCACTTTTGCTTGTTTGGTATATTGCGGTGCACTTGTTTTTAGCCATGCAAGCAGCCTTTATGTTTCCCTCAGGGGAATTGTAATATAATTATTTGTTGATCCTCCGGCTTTCCATCTACCATCAAACAATTGCTCTTACAAGCTAAACTAAGTACACAGCCAAGATTATGAGTGCTTAGCCTCAGCAAGTTAGCATGTACTGTAGATGTTAGCCTTTAGCTCAAAAAACTGCTTTGCCTAGAGCCTCACAGAGCCGTTAGCAAGGCTACAGTTTCAGTTACTATATAATATAGCAGTGTTTGGTACTGTTGTTCCAGTTTTGATATGTATTCTGCCACTTTTGCCACATATTGTGCATATATACTGTATATCTGTGGTGCTGTAAACTTTTGTTGGGGGTTACACAGGGCCTGGAGAGGTTCACCAGGTTGAGCTACAGCTAATGGTCACAGAAATTGCTACAAGCTACAAAAAATGTTAGAAGAAAATAAAGACCTATGTAAAAAAAGCAACAAAAAAACAACAACCAGACTGACCTTTTGGTTAAAAACACAGAAGGGGAAAAAATACATTTTCTATATGAGAAGCTGTGAGTCATGAGGTCAAAGTGAGGTCGACCGTAGATTTAAGAGACATGCTCTCATCACTTCAACATGAGCTGCGTTCAGAGTTTCAAGGGCGAGGTGGAGGGTTAAGAATTTCTCTCACCCTGTCCCGGCATGTCAGCAAATGTCACAGTCATAGTCTCTGTGCTCTTTCAGCTTCTCTCCTTGCTGCAGAGTATGTCCTGACATTTATAAAATTGGTCTCTTTGAGGTTAAACTCCTGCGACAAAAGTTTTAAAAGTGGACTGCACCTTACACTCATGTACCTGGATAAAAGAAGAGATCAAGAGATGGCCAGCACGGCTTTGGCATTGTGCATCAAACTGCAGATTTGTTCTTCTTCAGCCTCCTGCTGCGGGCTTGAAGCGATCGAATGGGAAGATTTGGTTTCTGTGCGGTTGCATCAGCTTCCCTTTAATGAGACGGAGAGAGGTGTGCAGCTGCAGCCGGGCAGGAGGACTGATATTGAAGTCCTCATCAGACCTGGGAGTCAGGAGTTGCTGACTTGGAGGCTTTCTGTTGTTCTATATTGCTGAAGCACCGTTATTGCATTTCCCTCTGTAAGCCATATTATGGATGGGCAGTAACCCCCCCCCCCCCCCCCCCCAAGGTGTCAGCTCTCTCTCTCCTCCGGTGCTGCTGGATGAGATCACAGGTGCTCCCACTGTAGCTGATGTAGCAACATGGGCCGAGGACACCAAGCTTATAATGAGAGGCTGAGATATTTAGGAACAGAACTAAATCAGTGTAAGGCTCACCTGTGATTAATTATCATATTCTGAAACGTTTCTTAAACATGTCCTAACTAAGTTACAAATATGATCAAAGGAATTTATATTTATTTACCCTAAACTAAGGGATTAAAGCATAATCGTTTTTTTTTGTCATCCATATTCAAGACTCTTGATTTAAAGTTAAGATGATCCAACACCTATAACTAGGGACATGTTTTGCTATGGTGAGCTACGTTTGATGCTTGATACTGTAGGTAACTTATCAAGTTTAATGTGAAATCAACAGTAGGCTTTTACTCTGAAGCATCAGGTTGTATGGCTTCATTTCAGACATGTAGACATATTTTTATTTTTATCTTTATTATTTCGGCCTATCACGTACAATGTGTTGGAGCGCTAGCCAATAGAAGACACAGTTGCTCTGATCTGGTCTCAGAAGTAGGGGGGGGGGGGGGGGGACTGCTTGTTAACAAAGGTTGATATAGTCAGGTGTGCACATAACTTTTTGAGTGAGTTACTCAGATGAGTACCAGGAGACAGCGTTTGGTACTCACCCCACATGAAGCGTGGTGTTAATAAGTGCAGTCTTCCTCACTGTCCTCCTCAGTGTCTCCTTCACTGTCCTCTATTTACACTTCTTGCATGCTAGATGATGAAGATGATGAAGATGCACCTCCCTGTCTCTTTGTAAGCCTCCGATTTGCTTTCTCCAAAACTTGTTGCCAAAACTGTGAAGTCCTTGCATTTCCTGAGGCCAAGTTGAAGGATCACATACTAAGAAATTATCACATGACTTGAAGTCATATCTGATTTCAGAGGTGGGAAGTAACAAAGTACACTTATTCAAGTACTGTACTTAGGTACAATTTAAGATACTTGTAGTTTACTTGAGTATTTCTATTTTATGCTACTTTGTACTTCTACTCCACTACAGTTCAGAGGTAAATCATGTACTTTTCTTCCACTACATTTATTTAATACCTTTAGTTACTTTACAGATGTGGATGAATGATGTGAAAATATAATCAAGTGTTAAATCAGACTTTAGTTCCACCTGGAGTAAATTCACAAGCTACCCTGCAGTATACAAAGTCATTCAAACTAATTTTTAAACACTTTAATGATCAATAATTATAAAACATATCATATACATTATTATGAAATGGACCAATCTGCAAAATGACTACTTTTACTGTCGCTACTTTAACTAGATTTTGATGATAATACTTTTCTAATTTTACTTGAGTAACACTTCTTCCACCTCTGTCTGATTTCAAACTCTTCCATTAACAGCCTGAGTAAGTTTGCAGCTGTGTGTTTTACTCCACTTTGTTGTAAATAAAACTGCAGCAGCTTGACCACAGAGCGTGAACGTTGTGATCAGCTGATTTTGCGCAGTTCTCCAGTGTGTGCGCGGGGCACAGAATGTGCACAGAATGTGCACAGGGGAGTCTCCCACCGCAGCCAGTTGACGTAGTTTTGGTACAATTCTGTTGTACACACCGACGTTAACAGCAGCTCCGTCTGTGCACACGGCGACCAACTCTGTCGTCCAGTGATCTAAGCCTCTGCCTCCTGTGAAGCTTCACAGGTCCGTCGGTTATGTCCTGCGCGGCACGGCCAGCACCCAGTTCAATCAGTCATAGAAAGTCTGAAGATTTTAGCAGGGAGCGAAACGGCAAAGTGGCTGCTTAATGTCTTTGTTTTTTTTGGACATGTCTAATAATTTACTCCACTGAGTATTGACAAGAAACATGTGTAGGCGAAATATGTGTTTTGTTTTGATGACCTATCAGGTACGCAAAGGCGCGTTGTGACACAAGTGACGTTACGCATTTCAGATTGTTGCCGCGCATGCGTACCTGCGTACCAGTTATGTGCACCCCTGGATATAGTAGCAATGTTGCCTGATACTGTATGTCGTTTACAACAAACCTTGAAGTCATTGTTTTTGGTTTTATACTGGTTGTGATGGTAGTTTAGTGGTGAGTGGTCTGTGTAGAGCTGCAGAAGCCTCTTCCTTGAGTGTTGTGGAAGAGGCTGGGATATATGCAGGTGGAAGTACCAGCAGCACATGGCTTTGTTTCTACTACTCAACTACTCAAGTTCTTGCATTGGCTCATTGAGTGAGTCCTAATTCCTGACATTTCATTGGAGAATCAGAGCAAAAACATTGTGAATGGTTTTCACATTGTTAGATTAAGAAATGATTTCAGATCATTACTTCATCACTACAGGATGCAAACTGGATGATTTGTTCGCCAAAAGGCATGCACAAATTACATTTCACTTCATCTATTTGACATTTTTGCAGTTTTGTACAATATGTCTGACCACCCAAGTTAGATAACCTGGTAACAACACAATGGCTACACAGTGAATGTGTGTGTTTAATCTTCCGTGGACAATTTCTCAGTGTAATCTGAACACTAGGAGAGTAAACATGATTTGTAAAGATGG